TGCTACTACTTATAATAATACTTCATTATTAGGAGGTTTGGCAGATTTGCTTTATTTGCTTTGACCCAATTGTGAAAAAACTCGAGGCGGTCGGCGGGATTTGAGCCCGCGTATCAGAGAAGGCCTTTACCGGAAGTCAACGCTCTAACCGCTAAGCTACAAACTACTTCAACTACTTCTACTTCAACTACAGTAGAGTTCCTGTGTCATAAAATACCGAGCGAAATTGGTTTTTACTTCAACCAAACTACTCAAGTAGAATTGTGATATTGACTGTCGTACCGCCTAACATCGGCATATTGCACTCACACATCTTAAAGTGAGCTACCTTCTGATCGCTTGCAAAAAGTGTACTCTATCAAGGAGAGCAACTGAAGTAGTACACATTTTTCTCAACTTAAAAATGACCAAAATGACTTAATATATTTTATGATTTTCCCTCATTACTTGTATACAATCTAATGTATTACGTAGAAAGCATGGACAACAATATTTTCTTATGTATTCCTTTGGTATCTATGCCCGTCCTCTTCAAATTTGTTTTATACGACGAAGGATTTTATTTAAGTTTTGAAAGTAGTTTCTCATTACGGAATTTTTTAAGAACATGAAAATGTCGTACAGCGATCAGTGCGTCTGTCAATTGATTAACTTTGTCAATAAAGTATTCAACACGATCCACGTCCATTGAAAAATTGAAGGCGCCTTATGTGACCGTTACGGATCGTCGTCGATCTTTCATCAGAGACAATAGCAGAAACGGGTAGTTCATACACAGTATTTTTATAGGATACAGCCACTATGCCACAGCACACTTGTGACACTTAACGGCTCCCCCTACCCTGGCGAGAGTTTTCACCCGTTTGTGCGATAATTGCTTGCCGGCCGGCCAGCCGGCCGACCTGCTGAAATGCTAATCACCCATGCTCATTCGACGAGACCCGGCCACACATTCAAATTTGATGAGGCTGGAAGTCTGGGAATCGAGGGTTACTTGAGTCTTGGTTCAGGGGCACCCAATGCAACGGCCTACTCAATCCGTATTCGGTGCTGAGGCTAAATTTGGTTTTATTCCACCACGCATAACGAAATTTCAGCAGGTCACGTCCCGCACGCCGGTCTTAAAGCAACTAGCGCACAAACAGGCAACTACATTGGGCTGAAGGGAGGCGTTACTTGTCATAATTGTGCACTAGTGACGGTACCCAGCAAATACTACAACTTCTTGTGCATTAATTACCCGTTTCTGCTACTGTTTCTGCGGCTATCCGACGTGGGTGCTGGATTTCCGCCGAAATAGTCATATCAATGTTCGCAGCGAACCCACAGTGTTGGTGTTCCGAATGATTTTGCAGGGGGATTAAGCAAGACAGCCTGATAATGGTTTTTGGAAAGTGCAGACGTAGGCAATGCGCAAGTCAGCATCTTTCGGCTGAAATGAAGCATTAAAGGTTAACCCAAAAGCCTGCACTATATTTTTGATTAGGGAGGGATTACCTGAGTGGCGTTGATTATCGTACAGTATACTCCCAAGATATTTCAGGATGTCGGCCTTTGAATGCGCTCCCTTTCGGGTATTTAAAAAAAACCAAACTCAGTAAAAAGTAGTGTTTACGGAGTATTCACTTTGTTCTTGAGGCTTTTTGAGGCCTTTACAATTTAAACTACACTTTATGGAGCCGCGCGGAACCTACCTTTGCATTCGCACTCTGAAGGCTGTATTCCTTCCATGTAACAAAACCCGTTAGTTTTTATATGCCACTGAGAAGGTACTTTATATGGTCCATAGCATTTCCTAATGATTTTGATCAC